AGGCCTCTGGTAGAGGACCTGAGCTTGAAGGATAAACCGCCCGCAAAAATTGGTCTGTAACTGCAGTGTCTGACCTGCACATCCCATATATTGTTAACAAAAAAAAAACAATTTTGAGGTTTGTAACTTTTTAAAATTTGAATCAATAACAACAGTGTGAAATATGAGGAAGGACAGGTGGGTGTTGGCAGACAGACAGGGGAACTTACTTTGAGAGGTAGAGTTCATTGAGATTGTGCAGACCACAGACTGATTGGGGAACACATTCCAGCTGGTTGTCATTCAAGTAGAGCAATTCCAGTGAATCACGCAGAACATCAGGGAACTCTATTGCACACACTAAAAGAACAGAGCCACAGATAGCAAATTTGCTCAAACACACACAGGAAGATACAGTTTAACCACATACTATACACAAAAGCACTGGGTAACTAATGGCCCACCTACAGGAATGTCTTGGCAATGATGCTCCAGGTGTACACGTTTGCGCTGATATTAACACCAGAGGAGAATTTGAACTCTTCAGTCAATCGAGTAACTGGAGGCTATTAAGTATCATGTGCCTCAGCAATAAGCAACGCTGCTCGGCAACTATATGTCGTCTGCCACTTTATTGCTGAGTTGCTGTGGTTGCTAAATGCTTCCACTCTGCAATTATACAACTTACAGTTAATCCTGGAATATCTAAGAGGGAAGAAATTCCAGGAACTGACTTGTTGCAGTGGTGGTATGCAATGACAGCTCTTTAGAAGAACCATTTCTTTCACAAATGTTTGTAAAGGTAAAGTGCATGGCTAGGTACTTGTACTTAGAACACCTGAAAACACTTGTCAACAGACGTTTGGCCAACTTGTTGTGTGACAGAAACACCAGCAAAATACAGAGAGTGTCATCAGCGGCCAGAAGAGACAAGGATGCCACCCCGAGGATGTCGGCCTGTCTCAGCAACGAAAAGCCCTGAGCATCCAACATGAGTATGAAGGAGAGGAAGGCAGTCACATCACTTAGTAATGATAACAACATTTTCATCCTTCTGGCAGACAAAAGTTGGTGCATGGCTTTGCTAAACCAGAAGGACTATGATAAGAAAACTTCGTCACTGCTAAGTGACAAAAATACTTATGAGCCCCTAAAAAAGAGACCCAGGTAGTGGTTACAGGATGAGGGTAAGAGATTGTCTGAAGCAGTTAGAACAAGGCAATGCTGTTGACCGGACCTCATACCACAGGCTATACCCAGGGGAAGCTGCACCAAATATGTATGATTTACAGAAGATGCATAAACAGTGTGCACCTTTAAGACAGATTGTCTGTATGATCAACTCAGTCACCTATAACTTGTCAATTCAATTCAGATTTTTTCAGTTCTTTGCTACATAATTACATATACATATACAGTGGAACCCCGACTTACGAATACCCCATTTAACGAAAAATTCACGTTATGAAGGCACTTAACGGCAATATTTCTGCCCGTGTTACGGCAAAATACCTGCGTAATGAAATTCGCTGGCTCTGATTGGCTGAGCCCAGAATGCCTACAATGCCTTCCGAATCATCAATCACCCCCTTGGCTTTCATACATGCGCTTCGCTGTTCCATTTGAACGACATATTGTTGTTGCAGTTAGCAATTAGCCTATAGCCTATCGTTCACTCAAAAGGCGCAATGGGTGCTCCGACTTACGAAAATCTTCGACTGACGAAAGACCCTCGGGAACGAATTCATTTCGTAAGTCGGGGTTCCGCTGTATATTAGTGCTGTCAGCGTTAATCTCGTTAAAATGATGTCAACGTGGCAAATCTGTGCGTGGGGCTGCACGAGGTCAATGCGTTAGTGCCGTCCAGCCCCTCACTCGCTAAAGGAGATTTGCTGTGTTAATGCGGTTATGGCATCTACGTCATTTCAACGAGATTAACGCTGACAGCAGAGTAACACACACACACACACACACACACACACACACACACACACACAAACAACACACACACACACACACACACACACACACACACGACCTCTACCTGGGTCTGGGTCCCTTCTGTTCCACGTCGTCAGGAAGGCCAGTCTCCTGGATTTGGGACTATCCTCTGTTCTAATGGACACATTTTAAAATACAGTTAGCAGACCACTCGTGTGAAGAACAGTGACTTTAAAAATCAACAGCCCTGATGATTCACCAGAGTTAAAGTAGTAAACTGTATGCAGCTATTCCTTTTCTTGGCTTCTCAATCACTGAGAATGGAAGATAAATTTATATGTTCAGAAATCTCTACAGAGATTATAGACAAGACTAGACAAAATGAAACACAGATTATACACCAGTGTCAGTTTTTAGGTTTTTATAATTATGTAATTATTATTATATATATCATATCTCAGAAACATATCATTACGTACAGCTACTTTCAATAATATTGATAACTTTTTAGACTCTTTCTCTCTGGTTAATTTGTCTTGCGCTGGGACCAGTATAACACACACCATTTAGTTAAACTACAGGAATATCTTAAAAGACATAAAGACCTGCATAATGTTCAATGTGCTGCTTCTATATTCAGATAAATCTGAGATTATTTTACTTGGCCCTAGAAATCTTAGAAATATGGTATCTAACCAGATGTTTACATGGATGGCATTATCTTTAAGACCTCATAGTACCATAACAACTCAGAAGAGCAGTTTGCTCTCGGCTGCTTTACTTGTGGTTCCTAGGATATTTAAAAGTATTATGGGAGGCAGAGCCTTCAGCTTTCAGACCACGAATGGACCCTTAGTTGTGCTGCAATATCTGCTCCTTTGTGCCAGGAGGACCAGGATGAGGACTGCCTCAGCCCTACAAAATGACCTCCAGTATGCCACTGTTGTGAATGTCTCTGACCAATCAGAAATGACTGGCATTTTTCTTTGAATACCAGAATCGTTGGGTCCATCCTGTGCTTCTCCCAAATGAGACCAGGTTTATCCTGAGCATATGCAACAGAGGTGAAAGGGTCAGTAGAAGCTGTGGAGAATGTTGTGCTGCCTGTCAGCTTGATCAGTTTTGGTGGTGGGTCAGTGATGGTTTGGGGATACGTATCCATGAATGGAAGCACAGACCTCTATGGAGTAGGCAGTAGCACAATGACTGCTGTTAAGAATAAAGGTATAATCCCTCGACCCATTGTATGAGCCTAAGCTGGTGCAGTGGGTCCTGGGTTCCGGAGTTAGTGTAGGACGATGCCTGGCCCCATGCGGCAAGAGTTTGCAGGCAGTTCCTGATGGATGGCCCCCAAATCCAGTACAATAACTCTGTCTGTGTTTTGGCCCATTCAATGACACCAGGTTGTCCCCCAGACTGTCCAGGAACGTTTTTAGGTTCTGGTCTAGATCTGGGAGGAGATCCTCTCAGAACCCACGAAGCTGAAATAGTTTTAAATTCCTGTTTTGTTACGAAACAAAGTGGGCGAATGAAGTGAATAACTTTTTCAATAGCTCTGGTTTTATCTTCAGAAGCCCACAGACCTCAACAGTTGGTGATTCTGGCATCACACTTGCTGAAAACCCTGGAAAGACTGGTTCTTGCTTATCTTTGGCTCCAGGTGAGCTTGTTGCTGAGAGTTTAGCTTTATGCAGACGGCTCAGGGTTTTGGAGTGCAGAGGGAGCTCCTGAAACCCTTCTATGACTCTATGGTGGCATCAGCCTTCTTTTATGGTGTGGTCTGTTGAGCAGCAGTTTCTCCTCTGGACACAGGAAGAAACTGAACAGGCTGTATTTTGGGGTGGCCTCTAGACCGGCTGAAAGAAGAAATTCTTTAAACCAGTTTGCAACAGCGTGACACAGTTATGTGTGTGATGACTTCTTTGCGCGTGTGGTTGCTGCGTCAGATTTTGGTATTCATTGGAAAATGCCAGTCATTTCTGTCCGGTCAGAGATATTCACAATACTGGCCTGCTGGAGGTGATTTTGTAGGGCGGAGGCAGTCCTCATCTTAGTCCTTGCACAAAGGAGCAGATACCAGTAAGAGATAGTAGTCCTACTAAGGATTAAGGACTTCCTATGGCTCTGTCCAGCTTTTGTAGATTAACTACCTGTTTCTTTAAATCGGCTCCATGGTATTCACCCACAAGACCATGAAAAGTAGCTGTGTATGCAAAGCAGACCCACTTACGTGCGTGATGGCTTCTTTGTGTGCGTGGTTGCTGAGTTCTACATGCAAAGGTTGTCGAATTTCCATGTGAGGATTTCTATACCTATCATTCATCTTTTTTTTGTTAGCACATGGGCACCATACAATTTACTCTGAACCATTTTGAGGTGCTTCAGTGAAATTTCAGCAAAATCTCACTGAAGCCCCCCCTCCCCTTGCACTGCATATTATATCTACAGTTTACACCAAAAGCATGAATCTAGTTGTAAACTAGTGTAAACCTGAATCATTCTGAATTTTAATGCCAGTAATTGAGTCAATTCATTTGTAAAAACAAAGTCATGAAAGGGTGACAGATGTAATCTATATATTTTGAGCTTAAGCTCAATTAAATACATGACGAGCTTAAACTATCCATAGAAGTTAAAAGCTTGACCTAACAACATTTCATAACAGTATTCAAAATCAATAATTAATGAATAAATCAGTCGACTCTGTTCATTCACTGAAGTGTTATGAAAGCTTAGCTAGACTCAGCACGAGTCCTCTGGACCAGTTGACTATACTAGACAAAATATACATGTACATAATGATGTTGTGTTTGTGATGACAGGACGTACTTGCCCAGATGGTTTTGAGAAAGATCAAGTGTCTTGAGCTTAGAGCACTTCCACTTATTGGGGGCTGGGAGTGCTGTAATGTAATTCTCACACAATCTCAAAGAGACCACAGCCTGATAGGACAATGAATGAGAAGACAAATTAGATACTGCAAACCACACCTTCACTTTTTCAATCCAAGGAAAATACAGCTGGCTGTTTATGGCTAAGGTGGTCTCTGGTAAACGGCCTGATTCTTATACAGCACTTTTCTACTCTCAAAACACTTAATACAGCATGCCACATCCACACAAGCACTTTCTTCTATGCTTTAAGTGCTTACTAGCTAACATTCACACACATTCACACTCTGATGGATGCATCCGAGAGCAACTTGGGGTTAGTATCTTGCCCAAGGATAGGGACTCGGGGAGCCAGGGAGCAATCCACCAACCTTCTGATCAGTAGTACAGCCACCCACTGGTGATTCAAGTATACTGTATCATTAACAATGCCAATAAGGTCATAAGCAATAGGGAAAGTTTGCTAACTGCAGTGACCAAACAGTCTTCAGACGAATGTATGAAAAATACAATAATATGATTAAGCCACTACTTTGGAATGGACTTATCAGAACATCTAGGATAAAGTGTTTTAAAGACTAATATTGTATTCCCTTTTGCCTCCTTATTTGCTGGTTCTACCTCAGTTTGTCTAACCAACGGTGTCACAACTGTGAGACAAATAACTACAAATAAATAAAATGAAAATAAATCTAAAGAACCTTTAACATTTTTTATCTTACCCATCCTGTAACTCATCAGTCTACCCACAGTAGTATAATACAGTAATATAACTATGTTATAATGTTTATTAACTGAGCGTAGCAGTTTAAAGCTTGGATGTCTACTGTTATATTTAGAGCACTACAATCCATGCACCAAATATAATCTGCAGGCTGAGCCAGATATTTTTGCATCTAACAGATTTATGCTGTATTTGTTTTAGACTGCAGAACTTAAAAGATTCATGAAGCCAAACACAGAGAAGTCGTGCCATCTGAAGGTTGTTCAGATCACTGCTACTACTTTAAGTAGTCAACAGTTTGTTTGCTTGTTTTTTAATTAAGAGATTTTTCCATCTTGATGAATATTAATATATCTAATAAAAGATCTACATCAGTGCTCCTACCTCCAGTTCAAAGATATATGAAGGAAGTTCCTTCAGACTGTTGTCAGAGAAGTCTACTTCTTCCAGATGATTCCTCCAAAAGATGGAGATGGTGTTTGGAAGATTCTCAATCAAATTGGAAGAAGCTTTGCATTGCTTCTGCACAGGAAAAGACAGAAATATATATATATTAGTGTCACTATGCATAACTTCTAAAAGGCTGATCTCTGTGGGTGAATGTATAGAATCAGTATCAAAATGAAAACGAAAAAACCAAGGCTAACTGCATCTGCAGTATATTAGTGTTGAAAAAACAGAAAGGGATAATTATGGCTTTTTACCAGTGGACAGGCCCAGGGGTCAGGGAAGGTGCTCAGCTTGTTCCTGCTCACATTGAGGAGCCTCAGGGATTTCAAACAGTGCATGACAGCTGTGGACAGACTGGTCAGGCAGTTTTCAGACACATCCAGCTCCTCTAGCTTACGAAGACCGATCCAGTTAGTGGCTGTTAGAATGGAATTAAACAACACATATAAACTAGACATTAAAACTAGTGTGAATTACCACAAATAAAAGTGGGATGCTCAAAAACGTATCTGACACACTACGAGAAAAGTGATCTAAAAATCCATTTTCATTTTTTCCCCACATTCTTTTTGCCCACTTATAAAGAAAGAAATAGTCTCTAATCGTTATGGTTATTTAATTGCAATGGAAAGATGATGCATAAAAAAGACAATAAAATATATAAGTTGATTTGCATATCATTTAGAGAAATAATGACTTGTTGTTGTTTGTAAGACAAACATGACATGGCGCTCAGTCACTTGTATGTTCTCTTAGGAAGCATTTGTTTCAGAGCCAAATTCCTGTTTGTGCCTCGCCCTGAAACACAAGAGTTTTTCACCTCCCTCTCCTGCCAGTGGTGCAACTGATCTTTACTCCTGATGTCAGCCTTTTTCTCACAACATAAAACTCTTCAGTTCTTTGCTTCTGATGACTCTCCCTATTGATTCTATTGTCCTCTTAAAGGAGCTTATGCATGCTCAAAATTTCTTCAGTATCCAATAGCACAATATTTGTCAGATTTAATAAGCGTGCTTATGCAATAGCACACACTACATTTGTAGGATTTATTAGTGCGAATGAGTACCTTCTAGCCAGGGTTGCTGCATTCATTGCTGCATTTGTCTTCAGCAGACAGGTGGTTCAAATCTTTGCATTTGGTGACTGGGTGATTAAAACTGAAACCATTGACCCGTGTGTCATGGATTCTCCCATCTTTCAGCAAATCAAACCTATTTTCATCTGTTTTTAGTTTGTATAGGTTTTCTTGGCACTGAAACAGGTTTCTTAAATAAAACTCTTAAACTGGCAGTTCATTATTCATCACACACACACACACACACACACACACACACACACACACACACACACAGCAAAGTAGAATGGATGTGCAAATGCTCTGGTTTTACTTGAGATTCGTCAGTTTAAATAATTAAAATATATAATTCCACTCTTCAGGTGATTTAAAGAATATGGGATTTCAACATTCATTCATATCCATGTAGAAAACTATACAAACTGTGTTTGTAATGATCTAACCCCTGTGTACTGTTGATATGTCACTGTGACTTTCTTCAACAAAGAATGAGTGTGAAGATCTAGAAAACAACTGAGTGTAAAACGTGTTCAAGGTCATGACGCACTCTTGGTGTCTTCATTATCAGGCTGGTGCCTACATGACTGTGAGAACTGAGCTCGCTACAGCTGAATAGACAAAGATTGTACCCACACAATCGGTACAGGAGTGGTTATTATCTTGCTATCCGGT